TATAATTAATAATGTCAATTAATTGCATTATTGTAATTAAATTATGTGATATCAAAGCTGAATTTTCAGATATATATTTAAAATTTAATGTTAATTAATTGTATTATTGTAATTTATTCCTGTGATTTCAAAGCTAAATTTTCAACAGACATTAGCCTTCAGTGTCACATGATCCTTCAGAAATCAATCTAATATGCCGATTTGGTGGAAATATTTCTTATTATTATCACACGGTTGTGCTGCTTAATATTTTTGTGGAAACTGTAATACGTTTTTTTCAGGATTCTTTGAATAGAACATTTAAAAGAACAGCATTTATTTGAACAGAAAGGCTTTACTGTCACTTTTGATCACTTTAATGCATTCTTTCAGAACAAAAATATAAATTTCTTTAAAAAAAAAAATCTTACTGGCCCCAAACGTTAGAACGCCAATGTAATTGAGAACTCTATTAGTTGTACTGAGCTATAAAAGAGCAACCTCCAAGCATAAAAAGTCCTCTGGGATGTTAACAAAGTTTCACAGTTAAAAACATGTTTTGTAACTGAAATGAAAGCCCAGCTGTCATATGTCCGCACATACTTACAGAAAGCTCTAGTCAGATCACTAAAAGAGAGGTGTGTGCACAGGGGAGGGGGAATGACGGAGCGCTGAAAAGATGCCTGAGCCATTAACATTCATCCTCTAATAAGATTGCAGTGGTGAATAAATCAGTGTGTTCAGATGAGCCTCATATAAACAAACCCAACATGGCACACAGCTGCCCAGAGCTCCACTGACCCACTTTGACTAGGCCTGTTCTGGGGAGTCAGTAAGGGTCCCAAAGGGGGGGGGGTACTGGTAGGGCAAGCGTCTGTTTACAAGTCAAGTACATGAGCATGGGGAGGAACTCAGAGTGAGGCTCAGACAAAATCACATTTGAAGGCATTTAGCAGATGCTCTAATTCAGAGTGAATAAAGATGTAATCAATTACTCTGTAATTATGATGACTAGGTGAGAGGAGTATCTGGGAGTAAGTTTTCAGCAAGATCATTTACCATGAGCACAGACTGCTCATATTATGTTACAACGCTATGATTTTAGGGGGGAAAGGGAGAGAAAAAAGATTTTAAATCTAGCACACTTGACAGACAGACAATTGTTTCCTCTAAACAGAAATGGGATTAAATGGAGAGCAAATGTAAATCTATGTTTCCTGATCTTTAGAAATAGATCTCAACAATGCCTCAAACTGTGCTCAATCATCAATCAAAAACCAGAGGTTTCAATATGTATACTCTTAAAAATAAAGGTTCTTTATTGGCATCTATGGTTCCACGAAGAACCTTTAACATTCATAGAAACTTTACATTCCACAAAAGGTTCTTTATAGTGGATAAACATTCTGTAGATTATTAAAATGTTCTTCTCACTAAAAAAAAAAAAGGTTCTGTTCACTGAAAGGTTCTTTGGGGAACCAAAAGTGGTTCTTTGACATCACTGCAAAAAAAAAAAAAACCTTTTGGAACCTTTATTTTTAAGAGTGTACTTAAATGTTTATCAAATTCTCACAAAATCAAATTATCTATTCTATCCAGATTTATTTTATCGATGTTTACTCATGGATATAGCTCTATATTTATTGCATACTGCATGTAAACCATCTTAAATTTAAAAGGAGAAACATCTCAGACAAAATCCTTACGTGAAGCATAACCTCTGAGCAATAAAATGTTCCTCTAGGAATACATCGGAACCAATGTAAGTACATCTGAGATTTACTCTAACTGCTAACCATGACCCCTGAGCTGACGTAAAGGTTGGGGTTGCAGTCAGAGTCATTGCACAAATCCAAATAGAGGTAGGGGCGAGAGATTTATCACCATAAACAAGTTGTTAATAGTCATTGGCCGGCAAGGGGATGGTCTCAGATCTTAATCACGACATGAATTACGACCTCTGGATGACAGGAAGACATTGTGGAGAGAGAACTGCACTCAATTTCACATTTCTGCAGTATTGAGAGCAACTGAAACCATGAGATTTTAATTTACCCTAGGAATACCCCACTAAAAACCCAAAAATATCATCAGTATGTGACTTTTATATGAAAAATCTGATAGTTGCTTTTCAGGAAGCAGTGAGCTTAGCTATCAAGCCTTCTCCCCCAGTTTTGACCTAATCTACCCTTGAACAAGCTGAATTTCATATCTCTTCATACTTATTTTCAGCTTTAACATAATCCTCATGATGACCTCTTTATAGCGGCAGTCACAGGCCCTGTGTTTGTTTTCATGGTAAATGCATTTGTAGTGATAGTAAAATTAACAACCCAAAGTTATTGTCATTTTTTAAAATTGGACTTCTTAATAATATTTTTCTAGCAAAAGAGAGGGTTGTGGGCATAATGCAAGAAACAGGAAAACAAAGCAGGTTTCATAACACATTTGTGTGACTAGACTAGTGTAAATGTGGGTCACATGTTTGGACAAAAACAGTTGTGCTCAAAATAATCTGGCAGCGAGAGGGAAGTTTCCTAATAAACTTTCCTCATAAAGAATCTGGGAAAACATGTGGTACTTTCTGCTCCACAGCACTCGGCCTGTCCTTGTGCGAGTCCTTAGCTCCCCTCTTGACTAGATGTGCCATGTGGAGGGCTGATCTTCTCAAGAGGTTCCCTCTGTTTTATTCCAATTTAGAACTACATTTCTCAAAGAAAATGCCAGTGGTGTTTGCTTATGCGAAGGCTGCCATCATCATACTAGGATGACAGAATTCAGATTGGCTTCCCTTTAATTCATGTGTGTGAATTTGAATGGAATTGGCCACATCCCACAGGGAGTTGAATCGGAATGGCATTCTCAATTCAATTCTGAACAGAACATAACCCTGTTGCTAAGGTTCTCTGAATGTTTGCTATGCAGTTGCTAGGGTGTTTTGGATGATTGCGAAGTGGTCAGAAGAGCCCACTCTCAAGTACTCTGGTTGCTAGATATGGGTTGAGAACTTCAATGTAAGTCTATTGGATTTTTCACCCATTTCATCATCCACTAGCCAAAAATCACAATTCTAATTACCTACATAAGTAATAGCACATCTATCCTAAACAAACCAAATGACAAGTATGAGCAGTATTAAAGGTGCAGTATGTAATATTGACAGTTAGTGGTTGAAGTGGGTACTGCACTCCAAATTCAAAATAATGGAAAGAGTTGGAAAGAATGGAAATAGTTGTTTCTCCCATGCCCTCCTCAGAATCATTGCTCACATGGGTTGCCAGATTGAGGACATGCAAGAGAAACTAGCACAATTGTCAATGGAAGGCGACGAGCCTTACACTCTTAAGTTGATTAGGTGATTTATCCACGTTTTAATTTGCCTCTGTTCATAAAGCTTTCTAGGGGGCTTTCACACTAACATTTTTGGTGCATACCCGGGTGACATCAGCGTTTGGTTAATGTGAATGCTGTTTTCTGAACTCGGGTACGCACCTGCGAAACGTACCCGAGTCGGCCTAAAAAGGGTTGTCTGGGGTATGGTTCATGTGAACTCCGGTACGGTTTGCCTCTGATGTGAACGCAATTATTAGATGGATGCCGAGGCTTTTTAGGTTGGGTAGAATCAGCGATCTCTGAGCCAGTTCGTTTTCTGGCTTCCATGGCTGCAATATGCCGTGTTGTCCACCAACTGGCAACCCAGGGTGTCGAAATACTATTGGGTAAATTGGCAGTGGGCGGAATCATGCAAACCAAAACAAAAACAGAAATTCCGACACGGAACGCACATTTCAAAATAGAATAACTGGCTGTAGCATTGTTTTTCGGAGAAACAAGTATGTGAACTTTTGTATTGTGATATTGAACCATGTTTCCTAAATATTTACAAGCATATTATGGTATTTTTATGTTTTAGTACAGTCAAAAAATTACATACAGCACCTTTTATAGTAATTCTTGCCATAGTGCATAACCTGTATCTTCTGAGCACTTACCTGCAGAACATTTGGGTTCCTTCCATAACATAGCACTGGCCCCCGTTGAAGCAGTAGTTGGGCTGCAGGTCACATGGGGACTTGCAGGAGCCATTGGTGCGGACAAAGCCCTGCCGACACTCTGAGCCGTTAACTGAGTCAACCACACCGGGAGGAGCACGGGGGCCTTCGCCCACAGTGGCTCCTTTGGGGAGCGTGAAAACGGGGTTGGAGGGCAATCGAGGAGGGAAGCGTTTGGAAGGAGGAGTAGTGGAGATGTCATCATCGTAAGAGTCAGTAGTGCTGCTGTAGGGGTAATCGTCGGTGGTGGGAGACACACTGTCGTCGTAGGGCGTCATGTAGTCATAATTTTCGGGCATGGACCAGGAGGTGGGGTCACGGCCCTGAAGCTCGTGTGGGGAAAGAGTCAGTCGGCCAAGGTTCGTGCGGCGGGATCCAGAGTCAAAGAAATCTACGGTGACGTCGGACGGGGAAGGGGGATGAGTTGGGGATGGGGTTGTGGGAGATGTCTCATGGTCGAGGTCAAACACAGTGGTCTCCATGTCTCCTTTAGCATCTTGCCAGGATGGTAGTGTAGGCACTTGCTGCCTCACTTCCTCTTCCGTTTCCTGTTCCTCTTCCTCTTCCTCCTTGAAGGAGATGACATGCTCCTTCACGAAGGAGGTATTGACAGGCAAGAGTTCAGTTTCTGTAGAGTCGAGGCTGTTATCTGGGCTTGCCAAAGTAGTTGTGGCTCCCTCACTGGAAGTTGGAGTTCCAGGAGTTGGCAAGAAGACCTCTTCCAGCATGCCACTACCTGCTTCTTCATCTCTAAACTTTCGTCCGGTGTGAGTCGGGTCTAAGGAGCTGGACAAGTTGGTGAACTGTGACACCTCCTCTATCTTCTCCTTCTCATTCCCGGTAGACAAGGAGGTCACATTAACAGCACTATCAACCTCAGTTTCATTTCCCACCACAGAGTTACCTGTTGAATGGAGCAGATTACAGTTAGGAGAACTCAACGAATCAATGAAAACACTTGCATTCATTCAAAAAGCCACTGGTATTTAACTCTTTGCTATTTCTCTTTGGGTAGGTTTCCCAATATCTTTAAAAAGTTTCTTTAGCAAGCCTTGAGATTAGGTGCAATTATTTTACTAATGTGTATGTTTCTCAAAAACAGGATTAGGGATTGTGACTAGATTCATAGTGGCTCCGGGCCAGGAGAGCTCACCCAAAAATGAAAATTCTGTCATTAATTACTCACCCTCATGTCGTTTCAAACCCGTTAGACCTTCGTTCATCTTCGGAACACAAATTAAGATATTTTTGAGGGAATCTGAGAGCTGTCTGACCCTGCATAGACAGCAATACAACTGAAATGTTCCCAAGTCCAGAAACGTAGCAAGGAGATCTGTAAAATAATCCATGTGACATCAGGGGTTCAACCGTCATTTTACGAAGCTACAAGAATACTTTTTATGCGCAAAAGGAAAAAAACATAACGACTTTATTCAACAATTCGTCTCCTCCCCCTCCACCCTCTAGCGGCATTTTGGAGAGTATCTGCTGGACATAAACAGCGTATGCTGTTCTGTGTCAGCTGCGTCACACAGATACGCTGTTTTCGTTCAGATCAAATCACATCAACGTAGGAAACAGATCCGGCGTGACGCAGCTGACACAGAACAGCATACACTCTTTACGTCCAGCTAAATATTCTCCAAAATGACGCTACAGGGTGATGCGGAAGAGACGCGCACAAAAAGTATTCTTGTAGCTTCGTAAAATTACGGTTGAACCCCTGATGTCACATGGATTATTTTACAGATCTCCTTGCTACGTTTCTGGACTTGGGAACATTTCAGTTGTATTGCTGTCTGTACAGGGTCAGACAGCTCTCAGATTCCATCAAAAATATCTTAATTTGTGTTCCGAAGATGAATGAAGGTCTTACGGGTTTGAAACGACATGAGGGTGACTAATTAATGACAGAATTTTCATTTTTGGGTGAACTATCCCTTTAAAAGACAAACACCATATCTGACCACCAGAAAAGCCCATAAATTATTTTGTCATCTTATCAGGTCTAATCCAACAACATTGTAATTTCATTAAAGTAAACATAGTGTTCATTATTTTACAGCCATAATGTGAACAGGATATTCACTGAGGAAAAAAAATTAGTTACTTGATTTTATCCATCGAGTTGACTCTGAAAAACACTATATGACAGGTGGTTGAAAAATAACCAGTAATAAGGGCTTGCATGCTGACAATGAAAAAAAAAAGTATTTTCGGAGATGAGAATAAAATGACATTTTGATCGCTGCACTTGTGTTCAAAATACAACCTATGAAAACAAGTCTAATCTTGTGCTTTGTTGCTTCTGAAGCAAATGTATCATATTTTAAAGATTTGTACATGTTGTTATTGGAAACAAGTCAAAAACAGTTTTCTAACAACTAAAGTCATTTTTGCAGTGGATAGTTTACAAAGGAAGTTTTTTTTTCCTTTGGAATAATATAAACTAATGAATCATTCACAATAGGTCCAAAAATACTGCTAAAAGCATGGATACTGCCAATGAAGTAATGGTCAGCTAAAAAGATCTTCTCTTTCCAAACTAATACAGTATGGAAGCAGGTATTTTTCTCAATGACTAACAGTCCCATAGCTTCAAGTGCAATTCATTATTATTACGTTCATTTTCATGAATTCAGTACATGACATTTAGCCACTGGGAAATATTTCTATGAACAGAGATTCCGTAGTTGTGGACTAAAAGCTCAAAAATATTTTGCTGCTTCCACTACACAGGAAATTGTGTGCATTTCTGGAACGGCAATAGCACATATTGTGAACAAGTATATGGGCTCAGATAACAGTGTATTTTAAAACACAGTGGATCTGTGATCCTGCTGTTCTATTGCACAGAGTAAAAATCCAAACAAACTTACATGACAGTTTATCTTTCTTGAAGACCCTTGTTTCCAAAGATGGCGGATTTGCATTGATTCTCCTTTGCCATTATCCGCTCTAACAGTGAAAAGTTTATTTACTTCTGTATTGCCAGGACATTTTTGTCCAAAGAGCATCTGTGTTTTTTAACACAGAAATAAATTTAGTATAGTCGGAGATATAACGTGTGACAGTAGAGACTAAGGTCTTTGGCACAGAGATGCTCCCCAGAAAAAAATGTTCCCAAAAATGGCCAGATGTGCATGGTCTGGATTTTATTAGTGAGCGTGAATCACTAATGTAGTATTTATGTGACAAATCTGACGGAGATGAATTTGATATAACTCCTTTGTGGTAACATTAGTCTCTGCATTCGTGCAAGATTAACATGCCTTTCAAACACAGATGTCAAATCAATACTGAGGCAAAAACACCAAACACAAAACTACAAAGAGGAAACATATTCAAGCTTTGTATGTTTAGAACAGAAAAGAAAGCACATGAAATTGGATATTTAGAAACCTTAGGTTGTAATTGTAAAAAAAATAGTAATTGCCAAATATTTTTACAATTTAAAAGAACTGTTTTCTACTTTATTGTATGTATTTTAAAATGTAATTTACTACTGTGATGGCAAAACTGAATTTTTAGCTGCCATTACTCTGGTCTTCAGTGTCACATGATCCTTCAGAAATTTGATTTGAAAAATTAATTTGAAAAAATTGATTTGAAAAACTAAAGGTACAACTATGAAAACGTTTGTAGACAAATATCTTTAGCCTAAGTGCACAGAGTAAAAAAAAAAAATCCTATGTTAATTTTAATACAAAATATAATGACTAATACAGGAAGACATGATCAATCTAAATAGAAATCAGATGTGTAATTAAAATTCATGATCTCTACTGTACGTTTAAAGAAAGTGTTTTGCACCATTAACACAGCCAATGCAAAGTAATACATCTCTCATTTGAGTAGCAAAATCATATTTGCAGTTTAGTGTATCTGCTTAATTGTATAATGGTGTTTCAGTGTGACTCATGTATAGAGCAGCCAGTGATTCAATTTGGGATAAAAGCAAACAAACTGTGGTGTGGAAGATCTGAATTTGATAAGTGAGAACAGTTAATGCACAGCATCCTTCAATCACTTGCAAACGTGTGTCATGGATACTTGACGGTAACCTAATCAGAAACAGGATTTTCACATACGCTTTTAGGTATCTCCTTTTCCTCTAACAGAATATGCCGAGCTGGTCAAACAGTTAAGAATATTTGTTTCGTAGAAGTAAGAACATTTGACACCAGCTGGAATGCTGGTTTTGCAGATTTTGTCGGTTAAATAGCCAGATCTGGGTCAGATCTTTACAGCCACAGCTTTATCAAAGATCTCCTGCCATACTATTTAATGCTTCTCCCAGACGGGACGCAGTAGAGAAGCGAGGAAACAGGGGCCCCAGGCAAAGCGGACACAAAAGGCCCTTGTGTTTCCCCTTTTCTCTTAGATGGTCAAATCTTGTTACATAATACTCAGTTACCCCTTTTCTCTCAGGCACCCTATTGCAGCCCAGAGGGCAGGAGGTAATTTGGGGTTTGCCGCTTGTTTGGTGGCCAGGCTGGGAGGAATGATGGCCACGGAATCTTAGTTGCATGACTTTGGGGAGATGCCAAGCTCTTTGTTTGTGCAGCTCTGCAGACACTGAAGGGTGGACAGTGAGCTTGTCTGTACCTCAGATGGTTTTCTGATGGCAGGCTGCCCGAGCAAAAACTGTGGGAGGTACAACTCAGAAAAACCATGGACCCAACAGCTTCATTTAACGTTTTTCTGTCATCTTCTATCATAATCGTAACTTATAATAGGTCTGTTGTAACACTGCAGTTTCTTTAGTCAACTTATTTCTAATTTACAATTAATGTGAAAAAAACTAGTGCTGGACCATCAAGATCCATTTTATCCATTGATTAACTGGATCATGGAAAGTGGTGGTTAGCAGAGATGGAAACTCGAGTCTGTGACTTGGACTCGAGTTGCACTTAAAGGGGTCATATGGTGCTATTTTAAAGATAATTATTTTGTGTATTTGGTGTAACAGAATATGTTGATATGCTTTAATGTTCAAAAAGCACATAATTTTTCAAATACTGTACACTATTGTAGGTCCTCTATGCCCCGCCTAACTTGAAATCGCATCATATGACCCCTTTAAGTCACATAAATAAAGACTTAGGACTTGACTTGGACTCATGAACAGCTGACTCGAGACTTGACTTGGACTCGTGACTCATGAGACTCGTAAAAAACGCAAGTCATTTGGTCAACCGCAGCGCTGCTTTGTTTACAGCGGAAACCAAGGAAATTATGTTTAATTGCTGTTCAAGCACCACCTGCTGGCAGAGAGTGAATCTGCATTCTAATTCAGCCTGTCTGCTGTTTTGTTTCGTGCAGATGTTTTATATAGAATATTTTCACAAAATTAAAGACAGAACATTTTGTTTTTGCTTTAAATTTTGAAATTATACAATCAAATGTAGATTAAAAACTGCTCATGCTGCATGTATGCAGCCTCTTTGTTAGGATTGTGTTGTGTTTAAAATACTGTGGTTGCCTCTAATTTTAAATTTAAAAAGCACAGACATGCCTTAGTTTGTTTATATGAGATTTATTTAATTTGTGTTATTCATTTGATTGATTGGGGTTTGTTTTAAAATTTCAGTTTAGTTTTGTTGTTTGACATATTTCAGTTTTACAAAGAAATGTGCAGCATTTTGTCTGAAAATTAATAAATGGACACCTTTTGATTTTTAATTTGTTTTACATTTTGTTAAAGTATTTTTTGAGAAAATCATATCGTGAAATCAGTATTTCAAAACCGATTTAGCCTCAATAACTAGCTGAAATAACTGTTGCTAATAAATAGAACAAAAACTTAAGACTTGACTTGGACTCGACCTTAAAGACTTGAGACTTGACTTGGACTTGGACCTCAGAGACTTGTGAACATGTCTGGTGGTTAGGCATAAATATGATTTTTTTTTTTTTCGGAATAAAATGGAATATTAACAATAAAATTTGGAAAGTTTATTAAAAACAAATAGAATAGTATAAATATATGTAACATTACAGTTTAAAAGTTTGGAGGTGGTAGAATTTTTTTAATGATCTTGGAAGAAGTTTCTTATGCCAAAGCTACATTTATGTATTTATTGGATTAAAAATACGGTAAAAACAGTAATACTGTGAAATATAATTACAATTTAAAATGTAATTTATTCCTCTGATGGCAAATTACTCCAGTCTTCCATGTCACAAATCAATGTTTAAAACAGTTTATATAGTTTTGTTTTTGTGAAAACAAAAATATAAATTTTTCAGAATTATTTCATGAATAGAAAGTTCAAAAGAGCAGCATTTATTTGAAGTAGAAATCTTTTGTAACATTATAAATGTTATTACTGTTCAAAACCGATTTAGCCTCAATAACTAGCTGAAATAACTGTTGCTAATAAATAGAACAAAAACTTAAGACTTGACTTGGACTCGACCTTAAAGACTTGAGACTTGACTTGGACTTGGACCTCAGAGACTTGTGAACATGTCTGGTGGTTAGGCATAAATATGATTTTTTTTTTTTTCGGAATAAAATGGAATATTAACAATAAAATTTGGAAAGTTTATTAAAAACAAATAGAATAGTATAAATATATGTAACATTACAGTTTAAAAGTTTGGAGGTGGTAGAATTTTTTTAATGATCTTGGAAGAAGTTTCTTATGCCAAAGCTACATTTATGTATTTATTGGATTAAAAATACGGTAAAAACAGTAATACTGTGAAATATAATTACAATTTAAAATGTAATTTATTCCTCTGATGGCAAATTACTCCAGTCTTCCATGTCACATGATCCTTCAGAAATCATTCTAATATTCTGATTTTGTGCTCAAGAAACATTTCTTATTATAATCAATGTTTAAAACAGTTTATATAGTTTTGTTTTTGTGAAAACAAAAATATAAATTTTTCAGAATTATTTCATGAATAGAAAGTTCAAAAGAGCAGCATTTATTTGAAGTAGAAATCTTTTGTAACATTATAAATGTTATTACTGTAATTTTTGATGAATTTAATGCATCCTTGTTGAATAAAAGTATAAATTTCTTTTTTAAAAAGTATGTTACTGACCCTAAACTTTTAAATGGAAGTGTATATGCGTGAAATGCATTATGTGTTAATGAGGAATACTGGCCTTAACCGCTATGTCTAGCAGTACATCCAGCAGCTGATGCCAAAAGTGCTTTATTTTTATATCACTGGATGAAGCGCCTTAATCACTGCATCCCTCCAGAACTTTGCAATGACAAAAAACAAATATATGCAAAAAATAAGGATGGATAGGGAGCAAATTCAAAAAAAGCAACTCATCAGTGTTGTCAACACAAAAATGCCTCTATTCAACAGGCTTTTAAGAAATTCCATAGTTTGTAAAAACACAGGATTCCATCCCTCCATGGAATATTTTACCTTGACTAATTATGCAGAGGTATTAACAGTCAGATCTTTTGACCTTGAGACATAATCAGACAGCTGCCACTGTCTGCCACGTCTCTTCACCTCCCGTTGCATAAATCTTTTCATTTCTATACTCAACAGGTGGTTGGATGGAGGAGGGATGTGTTGCCATGGGAACCAGCTTGCCCTCACTGTACAGAGTGAATGCAATGATGGAGCTCAAATGTGCTGTGTGAAAAACCATCATCAAATTTATAAGTCCACATCATACAAATTCAAGTTAAAAAAACACCTAGAAAATATAAATCTGTGCCAAGCCTTCGACAAAAAAGGAAAAAAATATATAGACACAGCTGCTTAATTTTCTAGCATCAACACAACCACTGATTTTTATTTTATAGCCTGTCATTTTTCTACTTTGACAGGTTAATTAAATATTTATTAAATTAGATACATTAGGGGTGGGGTGATCAGTTTCTGATGAAACCAAATGGCAGCAGCCCACATCAACACAGCACATCTTTATAATTCACTCCCTTTCCTCTGGTTGCATTAAATTAATTAATTAAAAGGCAATGAAGACCCAGTAAACTCCTGCCTTCAAAATATCGCTAAAACAAACGAATCTGATCACCAATAATGCCATTTTTCCTCCCCTTGTTCTTACTCTAAAAACAGACTGCAGTGACTTTCTTTGGCAGCAAAAGATTGTGAATGAATGCAAATCTGATTAAGCTCACCTAAAACCATCCAAAACATGCAAGTTGTTGTTTTCAACTAGATTGCAACAGATCCAGCTGAAAAGACACGGCCCCTTTGCCTACAAATCCACCCAATTCATAATACACAAATGTATCCACAAAACAACCATATTTCGTGACAAAAAATGCACTATTTGTCACAACAAGACTTAATACTAAACTGCAACCTGTAATTTAAGAAGCTATATAGATGACATCATATTCCTGGAACAAAGAACGGAGAGGTTTAATTGCTGGTACTCAGGACTGCATTGAAATTTTAACTAAAACTGCACATCTTGCTCATTTGGGAATAATAGCCTAGATTCATAATGGTGGATTCCATTTGTAGGGTCTGATAAATCTGATGGCATACAGCAAACATTACCTCGATCGAGTGAGGGTTTCAGTGTTAGAGGATAAAGCATCTGGATATCCTCCTCTAAATCTCAAGGGAATTGAGATCAGAATCCGGTGTTCAATGCTTTGGATTGATGCACAGTAACAGGTGGCACATACATATTGATAAAACTACTATTAATCATGCATGGATCATTGAATCAAAAAAATGTATTGAAATCAAATGTTCATTTGTTGACATCAAAGCAGTTATTACATAATAAAACTGATACATACATGATACAGCCAAGCATTATGGTTTGATTGGAAAGATGTGGCAGGCAACACCTTTTTTCTCTACCAGCAGCAGAATCTCTCTGCACAGAAAATGGCAAGTGTGTCCATTGGACTCTTGAGACAATAAAAAGGCGATTCAGCAAATACAGATCAGAGCATTGAAAGCGAATACATTATCAAATCAGTTACTGGGACAAATCAAATTTTCCTGCAGGCTACACCACGCCAGTAATGACCTAATGGATCGGAAAAGGCTGTCTATGATGGCCAGTGGCACACTTCATCTACTCAAATTACCATTTAGTCAACAAAGCAATATAAAAATTTCTTTATAAATTCTAAAAAATAAAAATAAAATACATTACATGGAAGGGAGGAAGTGAACCGATCTAAAATCAAAAGCAAGTTCATGCATGAAGCTAACAAAGCGCATGGCCACCGGTGACATCATTTTTACCTGAATGAGACCAAGACCACACTGGCCACCATCACAGCAGCTGGTGTGTATAGCTGATGTAGCGCCGCTTTGGGAATCAAGTAAAATATATCATAACAAACCCTAATTGTCATCCATTTTCATATTCCTATTAGCAGATTCAAGAAGACACCATATTTTCCCAATCCTGTTGCTAGGCGAAACTTGAGCATCCAACTAGGTGGACAATGGACCTTCTTAGCACCAATGTAGAATTATACAATAGATTTTAAATGATGTCATGCTTATTTACATAACGACAGCGCGCGTCAATGAGATCATCTCTAATGCTCAGTGATCTATAGGAATTTTAAACACACCCCTGGTTAAGGAAACCGTTGCTTCCATTGGGTTGGTCCTCCATCCTTTGGCAGTCTTTTAGAAGGAGGAGAACGACACAATCTCTGGAATAACCCAAGTGGCTAACCGTTACAACTATAAAGACATTCTTGTTCTGTGCGTAAAATCAAACTACACGCATAAACAGTGTAATTTGCCGCGCGATAATGTCTGAGCATAAATTATTTCGCGCTTTAATCCTGCCTTTGTGAGCCTCCATCATTGCCATAGTGACAACAGCTGCTCTGTAGAGTAATCACCGCGCAGTAACTCTACACTACTACTACTACTGCATAAAACAGTCATATGGAATGAGGAATTTGTACATTATTTAAGGTCATTAATATCAAAAATGGCTGCAAATTGCTTGCAGATGTTTTCTGTGGTGTCCCTTCCTTTTAATAAATGATGTGCATTTTGGACGAAGCCCCAAATTTCCCAGTTCGACATTTAACCTACATTTCCACGGCGCTGGTCCAGGCACATCATCAGCAGCAGCAGCAGCCGGCGCGCAGTCATGACTTACGCACAGCAAAACCCAGCAGCGGCTGCACTACTGACCGACATTCTCATTTTGTAATGCTGTTCTGTCTTAACTATCAGCTGATTTAATATGCATGTGAAAAATCTTACCATGTGCAAACAGCGGTTTCAAGAAGACAAGCAGAAGGACAGAGAGCATCGGCACGCTCCAGCATCTCAAACACGACCTCATCTCTTTTCGGTTCATGCTTGTGTGTAACTAAGAAATCTAGCAAAAGAAAAATTCTATAACCTTTTGGAAACAAAAAGTGTTCAAGTCGAGAAGTAAATGCTAGATGTGTTTTGTCCGATCTGTTATATCGTATCTCCTCTGCGCGTCTCCATGTCCACTTCTTTTGTGAGGTGTCTTCACTGGTTGTATTTGTTTACTTCTATTTTTTTCAATGCGATGGAATTTGTTCCTTTATGGTCCCATTGCCACAGACAAAATGCAAGTCGGTGCTCTTGCTAAGAAGCGGGGGGACGGACGGACGGACTGCGCTGCGCGGACACGGCCGAATCAATCGGGTTCTGAAACCAAACCGACGCGCGTCCACTTGGAGAGAAGCGATTCTAAGCGTTCTCACAGTATGAGAGGGAAAAGGATTTCGGCTCCCACTGTCTCCCCACCCCCTCTTCTCCCCAACCCCTCCCCAAGTTCTTACTCCTTTCAATAATGTTCAACTACTGACAGACACAAACACAGCTCTCCATTGTAAAAGCGCGATTTAGCTTTGCTAATCCAATGGGTTTTAACTTGGATAGATGGAAACGATATGGATTTTGCTGCTTGTCTTTCATATTCAAGGCTTATTCAAAGCTCAGTCTTTTATATTCAAATATTAGCATACAGTTTGAAAAAAAAAATACACAATTGTATATTGTATATTATTATTATTTGTGTAATTTAGAAAACTATCCAAAATATACAATTATATATCCTTATTTTAATTATTATTATAGTTATTATTTTAACTGTTTGAATTTTAAAAACTAATCCACTATAAAAAAAAAATAGTTGGAAATTATGTGGATTTTGCTGCTTGTGATTTAGTCCTTCATATTCAAATATGCGCATATATGTTGAATATGAAAGAAGAAAATATAACTATATTTTGTATTATTTTGTAAAATTACATATAATAATAATAATAATAACAACAATGGGAGTAGTGTTTATTTGAATATGAAAGAAGAAAATAAAATGACATATTTTGTATTATATTTTAATGACATTATTATAATAACAATAAAAATAGTAGCAGTATTTTTAGTTTTAAGCAAATGTTCAGATATGAAAGACTAAGCCACTCAGCCACAGATAGATAGATAGATAGATAGATAGATAGGTAGATAGGTAGATAGGTAGATAGGTAGATAGGTGCAGGAACATGCAGATTTCAATAATGAATTTAATCCAATTAAAAGTAGATAAAAGGCCAGAGGAGATGCATGTGTTATCTAGGGCTGTGATATGGTCCAGATTGTTTATGGGTTGATGGTTTAAGGCGAGGAGAATGGGACAATAAAGCAGAGGAGGGGCAGGAGGCATGAGATACACTCCTCTGGCTGTGGTGATGAATGCATGAGGGCTGGAGGTGTCGGTGGGGGTTGGCAGCATTCTTCCACTAGCACCATTGAGAAAAACAAGAGACCAGCAAAAGTCGGTTTACCAGTGCCTTGGGTTTGAGGTTTATGTGTGTGTGTTAATACACTCACACAAAAATGAACCATAATGCCATCACTTTACACTGAAAGTTTCATCCAAAACAATTCAGCTATCGCAAGTTTGATAAAGCAGGAGTTGTTCAATAGGTTTATGAAAAAATAGCTCCTCTGTATGTTTCTTCTTATTGTATAGTGAAAAATTGTTCTGTCGTTTTCTTTAAAATGGATGCAATGCATTTCAGCATGCAACAATGCCAACAATTTTTTGGTCAGTTATGTCACTCTTTTCAAGAAAAGTATTTTAAAATCAACAGAAAGTTTCACCGGGTGGCTTTTCTTTTTTCTTTTTGCACTTCCTGAATCTACAGGGGTCATATACTGTATTACTGCATTAATATTTCAAACAGGATATATGATTTTCCTCTGGTCACTGAACAGTTAGTACGGCATTATTGTAGTGAGTTTTTGCAATAGTAATATAGAGACAGCAACAAAAAAACATTATAAATATATCTAAAATAAATGCAAATACACAAAACACTCTGCATTATATGATAAATTATTCTTAACACAATCTTAACTGATAACAGTCCATAAAAAGTCTAAAAAAACTGATATTCTCCCACTACGGACTCATTAACCCTGTCCTTACGCCTCCTTCTCCCCCCTACTGGTTCCCACACTGCTCTCTGAGTGCAAGATTTGGGTTTAGTGCCAAAAGGCTCAGCTTCAAAGGGGCTGTGAAAGTGAAGAGCTGGTGTACTGAGGCCTCCAACCAGCACTCTGGCAATAATACAAATATACAAGCGTATACATTTCTCTTATAGGTGCTGGGAGAGGTTTGGATGCACTTGACTGAATTTATGCTTAGATCTTAAAATCCTTTTGATCTATAAGGCTTATGCTTAAAGGGACAAAAAAAGAAAAGAAAATTCTTCATCATCATTTCAACATTTACTCACTCTCATGTCGTTCCAGACCCATATGACTTTCTTCTGTGGAAGAAAAAAGAGGAGAAATTCTGATGAATGTCCTGGTCACTCTCTTCCATACACCTGAAGTAGATATTGACTTACTTTTGAGCTTTAATAAAAAACATGGGTACTTTTTTCTCTGTTGTAAATAGCACTACACTTCTGAAGTTAAATATATAAATAAATTTTAGATTATATAAACACATATGTGACCCTGGACCACAAAACCAGACATAAGGGTCAATTTCTCGAAATTGAGGTTTATACATCACCTGAAAGTTGAATAAATAAGCTTTCCATTTATGTATGGTTTGTTAGGATAGGACAATATTTGGCTGAGATACAACTATTTGAATATCTGGAATCTGAGGGTGCATAAAAATCAAAATACTGAGAAAATCGCCTTTAAATTGTCCAAATGAAGTTCTTAGCAATGCATATTACTAATCAAAAATTAAGTTTTGATATATTTACGGTAGGAAATTTACAAAATATATTTATGAAACATGATCTTTACTTAATATCCTAATGATTTTTTGGCATAAAAGAAAATCGATAATTTTGACCCATACAATGTTTTTTTGGCTGTTGCTAAAAATATACCCAAGCGACTTAAAGGGGTCATATGATGCGATTTAAATTTTTCCTTTCTCTTTGGAGTGTTACAAGCTCTTGGTGCATAAAGAAGATCTGTAAAGTTGCAAAGACTAAAGTCTCAAATCCAAAGAGATATTCTTTATAAAAGTTAAGAGTCAACCACGCCTACCTAAAATGGCTCGTTCTAACACGCCCCCACATGTCTGCGTCACTGTGTGGGAAGATTTGCATAACGCCACCCAAATTTTCACGCAAAGAAAGAAGGCGTAACTTTTATTCTCGCTGTAGTATTGTTGTTTCAGACCGATGAGCTTTGTAAAAATCGACGCGTTTCAGAAAGGCGGGGCATAGAGGAGAAACAATAATGTACAGTATGTGGAAAATAATGTGTTTTTTGAACCTTAAACCGCATAAACACATTTCATTACACCAAATACACAAAATAATGTTCATTTTAGCAACATCATATGACCCCTTTAAGACTGTTTTTGTGGTCCAGGGTCACATATACAGTACATACATACATACACAGATATGATTATAGAATGTTTAGATTTTAAATGTAATACAGTTTATATTTATTATAAGAATAAAAAAAAATTATATATAACAGTAAAAATACACAGTTAAGTAGGACTTTTAATTGTTTTTGAAAGAAGTCTCAGTAACACTTTAGTATAGGGACCAATTCTCACTATTAACTAGTTGCTTATAATCATGTCTATTATTAACATATTGGCTGTTTATTAGTGCTTATAAAGCATATATTCTGCATAACCATATTCTACATGCCTAATCCTACCCAATACCCTAAACTTAAAAACTACCTTACTAACTATTAATAAGCAGCAAATTAGGAGTTTGAGGCAAAAGTCATATGTTTTGTTAATAGCGTGAATTGGACCTTAAAATAAAGTGTGACTGAAGTCTCTTGTACTCAAAGGATGCATTTATTTGAAAAAAAAAATAAAAATACAGTAAAACCAGTAATATTGTGAAATATTATTACAATTTAAAACTGTTTTCTATTTCAATATATTTTAAAATATAATTTATTCCCGTGTTGGCATCCCATGATACTTCAGAAATGTATATTTTAATATGAATTAATTTTAAATGAATATTTTGGTGGAAACATGCATACATTTTTCAGGATTCATTGATAATTCTAAAGTTCAAAAGAAAAGCGTTTATTTAAAACAGAAATCTTCTGTAACATTATAAATGTCTTTCCTTTCTCTTTTGAACAGTTCAAAACATTTTTTAAAGTATTAATTTCATCCCAGAAAAAAAAAACAGCATCTGTTTTCCTGCTGAATATACACAGTAGATCAGGTTATGAATGAATGCTGAATAGGTTTCTTTTATTGGACTTATGAGAAATTACAATTATTAATAAGGTTAGGGATTGCCTATTAAAAATGAATAATAGTGATTATACATCCGTGTGAAAGGTTAAAGGCAGTGCACTGATGAAGCTGAACACATGGTGAGATGTTCCTGTTAAACCTTGTTCAATTCTAAAAAATGCTTTTTTTCCGCATACTGTTTGGAAGAATGGTAGGACTGTGTTCAGTTTTAATGTATAGGTGTAGATGTTTAATTTAGGATGACATTCTGAAAGCCTCCAACAGCCTATTTGTAATTGATGATCCATTATTGATTGGGCGAAGTGTAAAAGCAGTAAAGAACAAGGCCCCTTGATGAGCACCGCTGGCACTACACCTTCAATCCCTTTTCTTCTTTCAAAGCTAAAACACCCCACTGGGAAAACACAACAAGACACAAACATATCAGGTGGTTCACTTTGTCCTTGGACTTGTTGAAAGCTCTAACCGCTACGCAAACAAGCAGACATGCTCAAAAAAATAGTAACCAGGTTTTTTTTAACTATGCTTAACCCGTAATGCATTTTAAAACTGCAGGTTAAAGCCACCTTTAACCCTGAGTTATGAAGCCCTGCTCTGTTATTGTGGTACCAAAGGTATACTTTGAAACAATGCGGTGCTATGTGTATAAACCTAGTAACCTACAAAAATAACAACAACACAATAATGACTTGGGTAGACAATGAAAAATATTTAGGTTAAATATCTATCATAATCCTCTCATCTCTTCAGCTTGATAGTGTTGTTTTAATAGATGTAGCTCCGATTGGAACAAGACATGGAATATATTTAATCATAAAAATAACAGAAACAGTTACCCCAAAGTACAATAATGTGCCCAGAACTGACGGGTTCCAAAATAGAGTTCACTTTAAAAAATAGTTCATATTAAAAAACAAATGAATGATTTAATGAAAGTTCACAGATAGAACACATTATTACTTCTCTCCTGGAAATTATCTTTTCAAGCTTCCTAAAAAAAAAAAAAAAGTTTACAATGACAAT